AGAGAGAGAGAGAGAGAGAGAGAGAGAGAGCACGAGGACAGAGTGTCTGGGCAGGGGGTCGGTGTCCTGAGCTCAGGCTCCAAGGAGAGGTTAAGAGCCAGGTGCTGGGTTTGAATCCCATCTGGGCCCCTCACTGGTTCCCTGACCTTAATTAATTTGTGTTCCCTGACCTTAATTAATTTGGTCAGTTATCTATCTGAGCCTCAGTTTCCCAGACTGTGACATGGGAATCCTCCTATCACTTCCTTGCTGGGGTGTTATGACAAGTCAATGACACGATGTGTGTTAAGCTTCTAATTTAAGTCATGGGACACAGGACGCAGTCAACCAAAGGCTGCTGTTGTTATCAGTTTATCATTCATAGGCTGGGCCCTGTGGTAACCCAGGGAAGTGAAGGGTGCACTGGTACAGGCTGGGAGGGTCCAGAGGAGGGGACCAGTGTGCTGGAAGATGTCACCAGGTGGAGCTGGGAGGAGATAAGGCTTTGAGGACAGCCCAGGGCCTTGCCCCAGTGTTCATGGCCTTACCTGCAACTCCAGGTATAAGAGGAGTTTGCAGGGCCTGATTCTTGACTCTGGCTGACTTATTTAGTATTTTGACTCTCAGCTAAGATACACTCATTGGAGTAAAAAGGTAGAAAATACACAGAAGCACAAAGAAGATAAAATTCCCACGGATCCCAGCATTGTTAGCATCTCAGCATCCGGTCATCAAGAATTAGCCCTGGCCACATACACGTGCACACACGCACACATGCCACACTTTCCCCTAATGGGCCATACTGTAACCACGTTGGCACTGGACGGCTGGGAAGGCTAAACTTCTCTCCTTATGTTTGTTGACAGTTTTTCATCCTTTGTCACTCAACTGTACGTGTCCTTTGCCCATGTTTAGCGTTTTTGCCTTATTCTTATTGGTTTGCAACAATTCTTTATATATTAAGGTTATCCCCCTATTTACATTGGATACTGAGAGTGACTCCCAAACTTCCTGGGGAGTAGGAAATAGGGAAAGACTCTGCCAGGGTCTGGGCACTGGGTGCTTGGCCCCAGGACGCCGAGCTTACTGAGGAACCCCAGAGCTGGGCAGCAGGAAGTGGCTAGGCTGGCAGGGCAGTGAGGGACAGTGGCATGGAAAGAAGAGAGAAGGTTCAGAGCTGAAATCAGAGTCTCTGAGCGACGGGGGCTTAATGGGAGGCAGATGGAGGAAACAAGTTTGCCCTTGCTGACAGGAGGGAGGTCAGGGGGCATGGAGCTTTCTAAAGATAGGAGCCTGGGCGACAGGCAGGCGGCAGGGCCTGGCTCCAAAGTGTGGTGCCCAAGGGCTGTGACAGAGCAGGGGTCAACTCCTCCCTCCTGCGTGTCCAGACCCTCTTGGGCCCGGAGCCAGAGACGCTGCAGGACACTCGACTCCCAGAGGCCACGTATATGAAAAGGTCCCCCAGACCTGGCTGTACAACACTGGGCCTCTCTGAGCCTCAGTAATGGTGTGATACCATCACCTACTTAAAAAGGATTTATTTATTGAGATTCGTATGTCGAGCATTTAGCACACTGCCTGGCACATGGAAAGGGCTCAGTAAACACAAGTTAACTCACATTATTACTGTGCTGGTCACAAGACAATTATAGTTTTCTTGTGGACAGAGCTCTCCATCAGTTAGCTGTCAGAGCTGAAGGGCCTGCACATTACAGGTGAGTAAACTGATGCCCACAGACCAGAAGGGTCATGCCTCAGGCCATCCATTACAATGGCTTTAATTGTGTCCTCCAAAGAGGTAGGTTCAAGTCCTAGCCCCTAGTACCTATGACTGTGACCTTATTTGGAAACCGGGTTCCTGCAAATGTAAGTTAGAGGTCATAATGGCTTAGGGTGAGCCCTAAATCCAACGACTGGTGTCATTTAGAAATGACCAGGAGATCTGGACTGAGCCACAGACACAGGGAAGAAGGCCACGCGAGGACAGAGATGGGAGATGGGAGTGATGCTGCCACAAGCCAAGGAACACCTGGGGCTCCTGGGAGCTGGGAGAGACTAGGATTTTCCCCTAGGGTCTTTGGAGGGAACATGGCCCTGCTGACACCTTTTCAGACTCCTGGCCCTCAGAATTGGGAGAAAATACCTCTGTTGTTTTAAGCTGCCTCATTTGTGGTGCTTTGTTACGATGGCGTTAGGAAGCTAATGGAGCCAAGGCAGAAGCGGGCCTCAGACCAGGTTGTCCCCGCAGCTCTGCCCTGGACCCCATTTTAGGCGGGTGTCATCCATTTACTGACTGTGGGCCCTTGGGCAAGTCAGGCCCCTCGCAGCTCTTTGGTCCCCTCACCTGTGCTATGGAGCAAGTGACCCGGGATCAAATGAGAGAAGGACTGTGAAGCCCGTGTGCTGCTGTGCCATTCAGAGCCCTGAGGTATGGACAGTGGAAACAGAGGCAGGCATTCCCAAACCCCCAGGGTAACCCCTGGGGAGACTGAGGCACATTGGAGCAAGTGCCCCATCCAGATGCTCATTGTTGCCAGATAGGAATTTGGGCCCAGGTGCCCAATATTCTGATTTTACAAGACAAGCTGGAAATCTCCACTTCTGTGTGAGCAAAATTTCCCAATTTCAGTCAAGAAGAAGAAACTTCCTTCCCGGAGCAAGAACCAAGGCAGAAGTGTGCTGGGAACCATGGACCCTGTGGTCTGGAGTCCCTTTCGGCAAGCCCACACTGGCCCACCCTAAAGGGGCTTCAACTCAGCTGTTCACCCCCCACCCCTCCTTCTTGCTCTGTTAGGCAATGGAGGGGGAGCAAAATGAGGCATTTTGAGAGTCCAGTGGGGGTTTTAACAGCTTGTCATTTGGTCTGCACAACAACCTTGTAAACTTAACAGTAACAACAGTGAGCAGTTATCCAGCTCCTGCTGTATACGTGACTCCACTGGGTATCCGTAGCTGAACCTGGGCATGCTTTAGACGGAGTTTTCTTGTGCAATCTGTTTTGCTGTTGGTGGAGGAGGATTACGCTGCCCATTTTAAATGTTTAATTCGTAAGACACATCGGACTGTCTTTAGAAGTGACTCCAAACTGACTTTCCTCCCCTCGACAACTCTTGCCTCTGGCAGGTGCCAGGCGGGAAGACACCCAAGTCAGCATGATGGGCGATGGCACACCTCTTCGCAATGGACTTTCGAGAATCACGAAGACATCAGGGCCCCACTGTGGGTCTCGAGGTTGGGGAGGCTCAAATGCGTGGTCTAAAGGAAAATGCCTAAACCCCAGAAAAGTGGTCCTAGGTTTGGGGGCGCGGATGCTCGAGCCACCTTCGCCACAATGTCTGGGCCGTGCAATGGGCGGAGCTCGGACGGCGCCCAGCGGCCGTGGGCGGGATCGCAGGGCGGAGCAGGGCCCGGCTGGGGCGGGAAGGGGTGGGAAGTGGCGGGCGCGCCTCGGGCCGGGATCAGGTTTGGCGGCGGGTCTGCGCCCTCCACTCCCTGGGGCCGCACGTCGCGGTCCTCCGAGCCCGCAGGGGGCGCTGTCCCCACCGCTCGCTTTCCGGGACCGGCGAAGGCAGGAAGTCAGTGCGAGGACCACTTCCGGCGTGGAGCTGCGGCTGCGGCGGCCGACCCGGCAGGCGCGGGAGCTGGACCGGCACAGGCGAGGCCAGGCTCGCGGCCCCTGACGCGCCCCCTCGGCGTCCCGGCCTCGGCGGAAGGTGCGGCGGTCCTGCCGCGCGCGGGGCCGCCGCGATGCCGTTCCTGCACGGCTTCCGGAGGATTATCTTCGAGTACCAGCCGCTTGTGGATGCGATTCTGGGCTCCCTGGGGATTCAGGACCCCGAGCGGCAGGAGCCGCTGGACAGGTACCTCGCTCCCTTCCCGCCAGCTTGCCGGGGCCGCGGCGACTCGGCGCTGCTTCCTTTTCGTCGCCGCTACCAGCGGGGCAGGGCGGGGCGGGAGGAACTGTCCCCACCCTACAGATGAGAGGCCGAGGCGGAGGCCGGGGTTGCGCGGTGGCTCATATCCTGCCCTGTGCGGGGTGCAGCGTGCTCCAGGCCAGCGCAGGGAGCGCTGGAGGGCGGCTGTCGTCGGCAGGGCCTCCGCTTCGGGGCCCGCCCTGTGCCCTGTCCGGTGCTTTTCACCTAGAGTTGCCACGGAGCAGGGTGGCATCGGGGAGCGCCTCAATATTTACCCCAGAGCAGTGCAAAAATAAACTTTCTGTAGCTGAGTTTGTATTTTTATATAAGCAGGAGTACGTCTCGCTCTGAACCCATGGGAAGAGGTGTCAGAAAGGGGTACATCAGTGAGCTAAACAAAACCCCATGCCTTCGTGATGCTTAGGCGCCGGAGGAGAGAGACTGACGATCATGTAAAGAGTATAGTATTTAAGTGTAAGGTAGAAAAGAGCAGAGGAAAGGGGGATCCGTGTGTGTTTTCAGGGTGTCATTTGGATTTCAAGCACAGTGGTTATTATGTGTCTCGCCAGGGACTTTGGTGGAAACGCAGGCTTTCTTCATCGTTCTGTTCACTTTGAGGCTTGTTCTGAAAAGATCTTTCCTTAACTCTAAGGCTGTTCTGGGGTGGGTGGGGGTAGGACAGCACGGGGAGGGCGGGGGTGCATGGCTTTTCGCAGTCCCAGAATGTTTGTTTTGCACCTAACGGGCTCTCTAGGGCTGGGGGGTGAGTTGGAATCCTGTCCAGGCAGTAAGGATGGAACCTTGACCCTGACCATTGATAGGGTGCAGATGGGTGAGACTAAGAGGGTACTGGGAGCACCATTGGGGAAGAGAAGCCTCACCAAGAGGAGGAGATGGTCTGTGAAGGAGCTTCCTGCAAGGTCATGCGCTGTCCGTGGGCCTGGACTTCTGGGGAAAGGTCGTTCTTCGTGGTCATTGCTGCCAGGGAGGTAGCAGGGTTGGGGCTGGGGTGTTAAGAGCCTCGTGTGCACCCAGCCTTCGGAAGACTGGGAGGCTCGTCCTCTCCACGAGTGTGAGTTGGGAAGGAGGACCGTCGACTGCTCTGGCTGCGGGGGTGTCACGGGCTCACCTGGCATTCTCTGCAGCTCAGGGACAGTCAGCGTCTGAGGAAGAAGCATCAGTGTCTGATTCTGACTTCTGGCTGCAGGGGTTCCCTTCAGTCTCAACAGCCCAGGTTGTGAGGCTTTGTACCCAAGCCAGGGATCAGATTCTCTGGGCAGCTTGGGAGGAGGCTGGAGACAGCCCCAGTCCTTTCTCAGCAAACCTGAGGAGTCTGCTCCAGTTAAAAGATCCGGCTTGGCTCCCTCTCTACCACAGATTCTTTTCCAAAGAGACTTTCTGCCTACAGAATCAGGGCTCTGCCTGGGGCGGTGATGACAGCAAGTGACCAAAGGCCACCCACCCACAGGATGCCCAGGCCAGCTGGTCCCACAGCTGTTTCCACCCTCAACTGGTCTGCCTCTTTCCTGCCCCAGGCCCAGTTATGTCGCCAGTGAGGAGAGCCGAATTCTCGTTCTCACTGAGCTGCTGGAGAGAAAGGCCCACTCTCCATTTTACCAGGAAGGCGTGAGCAACGCCCTGCTGAAGATGGCCGAGCTGGGACTGACCCAGGCAGCCGATGTTCTCCTGCGGAATGGGGCCAATCTCAACTTTGAAGGTCAGGGGGAGCCCTGAAGGGCTGAGGTGGCTCGGTGGCGTAAGTGTGGCTCTGCTCTGGGTGGGCAGCCCCGTCTTTGGGCTCTGCCTGATTGTTCGCTTAGGAGCTACTTCCCTCATTTATTTCGTGGGTGATGACTAAGGAAACCTGCACTGGGTGGCCTCCCACCCCCCTGCGGGCTTCAAATGGCCCTTACCACCTCTGGTCCAAGAACAAGGCTGTTGCTGCTTTACCACGTGATTGACTTAGCAAACCTTCCCAGCGCCCAGCGAATTCCCTGCTTCCATTAATGGGAAAATGCAGCTGCTGGCACGGTGCCCAGAGCTAAGGAGAGGTCACTTTCTCTCCTTGTTCTGAGCCATCTTGCATTTTTGTTCATGCTGTACGGAGATGGGAAACCAGGTAGGCCACAGTGGGTGTAAATCACGGCAGGACTGTGTTGGCTTCTAGCTTGTAAGTCCTGGGGGAGAGGGGGGTGATGAAGCCATTTCCCTCTCCTGTCTGGTTTCCCCTAGGGAGGGCAGACTCAGCCAAGAGACATGCAGTGCCCACTTGTGACCAGAAGGGGCCCTTTGTGCTGCCTCAGGATGTGTCCAGGCACGTCTCCCCTCCCCATCTGAGGACGAGCTCAGAGGCTGCTGGGCTCCTGAGGGTCAAGGAGCTGATGACGGGGGCTGGGGGGGGGGTATTCTGAAGTCAGTCTCTTGGAGACTCAGCTTGGAGAACGTGGCTGCTGTTGCCAGGCATGAGGAGCTGTCACTCTGGGTGTCCTCCCAACAGCCCGAGAGGAGATGCCCTGTTTTATGGTCCCATTTTACGGAAGAGGAAACTAAAGCCCAAACAGATTAATTACCATGCCCACTGGAACACCCCCAGACCCAAACCTGCTGACCCCCGAGTCTGTGCTGTAGCATCCATGAGGACAACTCTGCTCTGAGCGCTCAGGGTGGCGAGTGCTGGGACGGGGCTGCCAGGCCAGGTCCTGGGATCCTCCCGGAATGTGCCGACAGAGGCAGCACTGACCTGAGCTATGTCTGTGCCCTCAGACCCGGTCACCTACTACACCGCTCTGCACATTGCCACCCTGCGAAACCAGCCTGACATGGTGGAGCTGCTGGTGCGCCATGGGGCCGACATTAACCGGAGGGACCGGGTAAGAGCCAAGTCCAGCCCGCTCTGAAGGGGGAATGCAGTCGGGGGTTGCAAGCAGACCCCCAGACCCCCAGGCCAACCTGGCTGTGCTTTCCTGGCTCAGATCCATGAGAGCAGCCCCCTGGACCTGGCCAGTGAGGAGCCGGAGCGCGTGCCCTGCCTGCAGCGCCTCCTGGACCTTGGAGCGGATGTCAACGCAGCCGACAAGCATGGTGGGTGCCTCGTGCGGGAGAGCAGGACAGCCCCAGGCCCAGGTGCCTTGTGAGGGAAACCCAGGTTACCCCAAGGACGACAGGCGGGCAGGCTGGATGCAGCCCATCTGCTGGCACAGCACGGCCCACAGGTGCATTTTGCTCGCTTGCAGAGGCTTTAGAGAGCAGCCGGTGGCCCCTCGGCAGCCCCTTGAGGGCTGTCTGTAGGAGGAAATGGGGGTGTGTGCGCTCAGCTTCCAAGGGAACCATGGTTTCCTGTCGGGTCTTGGGTAGCATCTCAGGGTCCACAAAAATCCTGCCTGTCCTGGCCCTTCTCCCAGTTTTGTGTGGGTGAAGAGAATGGCCAGAAACGGGTCACCCTCAGCCGTAGCTGAGGGGTCATCTGATCCTGAGCGCCTGTATTTCCCCTCCCCCTCTGGGGTGGCCCTGCCCTCGGTCCCGGCCACCCACTCTTCGCTCTGTCCCCCTCCTTAGGGAAGACTGCTCTACTCCACGCTTTGGCTAGCAGTGACGGGGTGCAGATCCACAATACCGAGAACATCCGGCTCCTACTGGAAGGAGGTGAGGCTGTCCCCAGGCTGTTCCCGAACCTCGATCTCTCACACCGCACTTCAGTTCCTCCAGGCAGGCCCTGCCCCCTTAAACGTTGTTGCTTTGCAAGGGCTTAAGGCCTCCTCCCACCTTCTCTTGTTCTCCCTGCTGGCTCTTCTAGGGGCAGACGTCAAGGCGACCACCAAAGATGGGGATACCGTGTTCACTTGCATCATCTTCCTGCTTGGTGAGACAGTGGGAGGGGACAAAGAGGAAGCCCAGATGATCAACCGCTTCTGCTTCCAAGTCACGCAGCTGCTGCTGGCTCACGGGGCCGACCCCAGCGAGTGCCCAGCCCACGAGTCCCTCACTCACATCTGCCTCAAGAGCTTTAAACTGCATTTTCCTCTCCTGCGCTTCCTATTGGAGTCTGGAGCCGCCTACAACTGTTCCCTCCACGGTGCGTCCTGCTGGTCTGGCTTCCAAATCGTTTTCGAGCGGCTCTGTTCCCACCCAGGCTGTGCCGAAGACGACAGCCACGTGGACCTCCTGCACAAAGCCGAGACCGTCCTGGATCTCATGGTGACTAACGCCCCCAAACTCCAGCTGCCTGAGAACTTTCACATCCATCCTGTGGGCAGCCTGGCAGAAAAGATCCAGGCCCTTCATTTCTCCCTAAGGCAGCTGGAGAGCTGCCCCCCACCCCTCAAGCACCTGTGTCGCGTTTACATCAGATTCTACCTTCAGCCATGGCCTGTGGATGCGAAGGTCAAAGCCCTACCTCTGCCTGACAGGCTGAAGTGGTACCTCCTCAGTGAGCACAGCGGCCCTGTCGAAGACGACATGTAACAGCTCCCAGACTGAAGGGCACAGGGTCTGGGCGGCTCAGTCAACCTCTGGAGGATTTAAGTACCTGCGCAGCCTGAGGGGGAACCTTCGGTTCTGCCTGTCACACAGAGCAGGTTGGAGCCGGACTTGACCTTAGTACAAAGAGCCAGGTGCAGCCCAGCAGCTGTGATCGTTCCAGTGGGCTAAGGCGTCTTTCAGGGAGACTGCCACCCTCCTTCTCTCTGGCAGTACCCTCAAGTTCTCAGCCCACATTGGAAAAAAAGTCAGGGTTTAGATTTGGGATACATTTATACCCTTAATTTGAAGGGAGTGCCAGACATTCCCAGAAGCAGGGTAGCTCCGAGTCTAGGTCCTGAGAGCTGTGGAGGCAGAGCTGCAGCCAGAAGGAAGCTGGGTGGGCCTGTGAGGGTGCCGCCCATCTGAGGCCCTTTACTCCCACCCCCTTATGTTCTGGGTTCTGTCACTTACAGCTTTGGAGGCTGAGAGAAAGCTGACTGACACCTACTAGCATTGGTAGCTCTGGGGCCCCGCCCCTCCCGGGGCACAAGGCTGTGCTCTGGTGGCCGCTCTGTTTGTGCCAAACCCAGAGTCTTGGGGACCATGCCTTCTGTTAAACAATCATGCATGATCAGGAACAGCCATTTTCAGAGTGTTTCCTTTTGTGAGGGGCTCACCTGATGATGAAAGCTACCGAGACTGAAAGCCAACTGTCCCACCCAATGCTGAACCCTCACAAAGCCGTTTCTGTCATGTTGGTCATTGTGAATTGTGTAAATGCCTCGGAAATAAACGAAGGCCACTAAATGACATATTTATATTATCAAATTAAACTGATCTCTTGGCCTTAAAGGTCCTTGTGTAACATTTCCGCCCCCAGTTGAGGATGAAGGACCGACCCCACAGTGGCCAGGAAGAAGAGGTGGTCAGCATGAGCGGGCACAGCATTTGGGGGGACGATTTTCAAGTAGCCAGTACTTGTCCTGTAAAACAACAAAACACCACTCCAGACAGGCAGGGCCTTCACAGCATGGGGGTACACCCTTTTATTTTTTACTGAAAATGCCCGCCAAGAATGAGGCTACCGGCTTCTCCCCTTGCTGCGGGCTGTTGTGATGATCCCGTTAAGGACACGTGGGCCCCATCACCAAAGCACACAAATTTCCCACCAGCCACACCATACGGGCAGGCTCCAGGCTCCAGCAGCCTGCTCCTCTCTCCCCAGGGGGTGTCCTCAGCAGCCACGGAGTCCTCAGCAGCCACGGAAAGGGAGGTTCTCTTCCTCTTAAGGCAGCCAGGCCTGTGGCTGGAAGGCCCGGTGGTGGTAACGGAGCTCCAGCTCTCCGCTCCTGACGGATCACTATATTCCCACATGGGGAGCACCAGGGGCCCTGGCGTCAGCGTTGCACAGGCCCGCACTGCCCAGTCCAGGCAGCAGAGCCAGGCTCCCAACTCGCTGTCCACACAGCCGCACCCCTCCCACTGGGTCCTGTCGTTTTTAAGAAGAGCCTGTGTAGTGAGGGGACACCAGGCAGGAATACTGAGTGGCCCCCATCAACATGGAGCCTCTGGGTAGCACCGGCCGCCACCCCCCACCCCTGCACTGGTTCCCCTCCTGCCGGCCCCTGCTCATCTCAGGGCTAGGCTGTACACGTGGTAAATCTCGTCCGGAAGGTTCTCCTGCCGCTCCTGGGCCAGCAGGCTGAGGCCCGCGCTGCGGATGATCCTGTGGACGACCTCAAGGTCGCGGCACACGCTGCTGTCCACGTCGTCCAGGATCACGCCCTCCTGGGCCATGTTGTCTTTGATGACAATGATGCCATTGGGGCGCAGGCCCCGCTTGCAGCGCCGCAGGAACTCGGCCAGGTGCTGATCAGTCAGGTGGCCTGGGGAAGGCAGAGGTGGGGGTACCAGGGAGAGGTGCCAGCGCACACGCCGCCACCTGCCGACACAGCACTCACCTTGTGCTTAACACAGGGCCACCCGTGCTGGCTCTCAGAGTACAGAGAGGTTTATGAAACCTCGGGCTCGGAAGTCACCTTCCTTGGCCTGGGTCAGGGGAGCGTACCAAACAGCCCCTCCCTACATTAAAGCTCCAGACAGGGTTCTGTTTTGTTTTGTTTTAGCTGAACCATCCTGCCACCTGTTGGCAGCTCAGCAGCAACTCAGCTCAGGCCGGACATTGAACCGCTGTTGCTCAGCGCTCAAACTCTTGAGCGAGCTCTTAACCAACTGAGCCACTCGGCCGGCCCTCAGACAGGCTTTTTGGGGCCAGACCCAGTGTGTCCCCAGCAGGGCGCCGTGGAGGGACAGTGTTCCTTGCTGTCCACAGCAGGGACAGCCAAGGCTTCGGCTTCGACTTTTATTAAAAAAACCCCTTATGGGTTTGAAAACTTCTGTCTACATTGTTTGATTACAGTAAGTTACTGGTTATTTAAATTGTTTCAACAAAAAACTGCCCCCCAACGGGTTGCAGCAGGTACTGAGTTGGAACAAATCATGGAAGATGTACCTTTCAGGTATTCTCCCGGGGTCCTGGGAGCACAGAGGGGACTGGAGGTACCCCGCTGGCCCGCCCGCCGCAGGAGCACCGGCTCCAGGACTCCGGGGCAGCCCCAGTCTCCACAGCGGGAGACGTGCAGGATGTGGGGACGCGGAGCGGGTGCTCACCTATCACCCACTGGATCCAGATGACGTCGTAAGAGTTAGGCTCTGGGCTGAAGTCCTGGAGGCCACAGCAGAAGTAGTTCCTCACCCTCTTGCCCTCCTCACCCAGGTAGGTCTTGGCCTTGACCAGAAAGTCCTCGGTCACGTCCACCATGTCCACCACTCCAAAGAGCGGCAGGAGCAGCCGTTTGGTGATCCTCCCGATGCCAGCACCGCAGTCCAGGGCACAGGAGGTTCCCGTCCTGTTCGGGCCTTCCTAAAACGCAGGGGAGGCGGACACGCTGTCAGCAAGGGGGAGGCAGCCAGAGGGACCCTGTCACTGAGAAGGGGCCATCCCCCATGAGCCCCCACTCAAGTCTGGACCAGGCACAGGCTGGCAGCTGGCATCAGTGGGGACGTCAACGGGCATGAGCACAGCACATTCTTTTTCTGGGCCACACATTTCTAACATGAAAGCCAGCTTCCACTTAAAGGTGCTAACCTGAATAGGTGCATTCATTTTCCCTCACTCCTGAAACCCCATTAAAATGACAGCATGGAGAATAAAAAGGAGGAGTGCTGAAAATGGAAGAGGGCAATCAGTGAACACGGGCTTTTAACCAATTTGGGAGGATGGAAAAGGGGTGGAGGAGAGACACCAGGCAGATCGGTGCAGGGCAAGCAGCAGCCTGTGGGGCTTGCTAAGGGAGTGGAGGAGGGGGCAGGCCCAGGGGGCTCCAGCCAGCCCGGAACAGCGGGGCCTCAGTGGGAGCCAGTAACCCGGAGCCTGCCTGAGGCAGAAGGGCCAGCACCCACAGCCCAATGTCCACAGACACGACATGAGAGCAAAGGTTTTGTCCCTGGCAAAACTGAACAGTTGAAGGGGAGACGACTCCGTTCTGGCACCCGGGAGTCCCCCAGCGCCTGTCTGGCAGCCTCGAGGCAAAGTCCACTGTCCACAAGCCGCCCCCAGGCCTTCCAGGCCTGGGTGGTAGCCACCGGCAGATAACCGAAGACCCTGCAGTGATACATGGAAGAGGTGGCACCAGCGCCACATCCTTTCCTCCTGGAGAGCACACCAGACCTGCCTACCCTCAGAAACCTCTGCAGAAACTTCCGGGAGCTGCTGATGTCGATGGCGGAGATGTGGCCATACCCCCCGAGCATGCCGTCCACGGTCGCTGGGACTTCTTTCCAGTATGTCTTGGCCTTCGAATAGAATTGCTTCTCATCTTCTATCACCTCGCTCGTCATGCTGTCACCAACCACGATTCTGCTGAGACACCAAACTTGGCAATGGTGTCTCCTGAATAAATTTAAAAAAAATAAAGTGCATCAGCAGGTCGAGGGCTGCAGTCTCACACCATGCTTCACTGGTCACACAATCCTGCCTTTGCAGAGGAAATGTCCAGTGTCCCCTAATTTGCTGCCACCCCTTGGAGGTCAGTGCCTCCTGTCTCTTGCATCCAAGACATTTTGCAAAGCTATCATCATATCAGAGCAGGAGACCCAGGGTTCTGGCTTCTAGATCTTTCCTTACTCTACATGACACCTGGCTCCATGGCTTCTGACCCCAGGGGACAGAGAATCCTGATCTACACTTAAGAGAAAGGACAGCAAAGCAAGGGGCCCAAGCCTCTTCCAGTGGGAGTTCCAGCTGATACTGGGAGGGGCTCGAGCAGTATCCACACCTCCCTTCCTCTCACTTGTCAGCACAAAAACAAGTGGAGTCCAGTCCTTCCTGGACAATGAGCTGGGACTCTGTGCCAGGTACCGTGCTATGAGCCCGGGAGACAGCCAGATGGAAAACGGCTACAGACACACACAGTCACAACTGGTAAGGGCGGCACAGAAGCTCAAGATGTGAGAAGAGGGCCGGCCAAGTGGCTCAGTTGGTTAAGATCTCGTGCAAGAGTGCCAGCTCTGAGCAACAGGGTTGCCGGTTCGATTCATGGCCCGAGCTGAGCTGGGGCTGCCTCTACCAACAGGTGGCAGGATGGCTCAGCTAACAACAACAACAAAAAAGATGTGAGAAGAGCACACGCCAGAGGAACCTAACTCTGCCGGGGTGAGGGAAGGCCCCCCTGGGAAAGTGACACATCAGCTGAAATGAAGGATGAGGAAGAGTTGGCTAAGCAAACGGGGCAAGAAGACTGCTCCAGGAAGAAAAGAGTGTGCACAGAGCCCTTGCAACGGGAAACTCGAGGTCCTATGGGTCCCATTTAGGAGTTTCGATTTCACCCTAAAGAGCAATGAGCTTGAACGACTCTAGATTTAAGCAGGGAGTGACATGAGAAGGTGTGAGTCTCTGGAAGACTGTGCTGGCAGCTGTGTGAACTGTAGAGGCAAGAGCGAAAGCAGACACTGAGAGGAGAGTGCTACCAGAATGGACAGAGGGGGACCACAAAACAACAGCAGGGGCCCTGGCAGCGAGCTCAGCCCCACCACGCCACGCCACTCGGGAGGGACGAGAGGAGAGGGGCAGTTGGGCAGCTCCACACTCAGCCAGCCTGGCCACATGGTGGCCGGGAGGGACATTAGGATCTACCCTGAGGCACTGGCACTCCTCAACAAATGTTCACCCCGCATGGGCACTGCTGTAGTTGCTGTGAGCTTGTCAACAGAAAGTCCTGCCCCCTGTCCAATAGGAGACAGGGCAAAAATGGAACCAATTAAAACGCAGGCAGAGACAACGAGGACTCTCACTGAGCCCAAAAGTGCCATGGAAGCTCAAAGGATGAAGGAATCCTTCCCAAATGGCAGAAGGGGCGGCAGCCGAGCGGTGACACCCTGAGATGTATCACTGTCTCTCTTGCATCCCACATGGCATGTAGGTACTCAACAAGAAGTTCACTTCTCATTAAATGAGCAGAATAAATCTAGGCCAAACACTAATCTGGCTGTACTCTCTCTCCCTATCTGTTTGCCTTCCCTCCCCAGATATAAGCTTCCCGGGGGAGGGTCATTACTTTGTACACCACTAGCCCAGCACGTGATACAGGGTGGGTGTTTGCTAACTGATTGAGTAAATCAAAGACTGAGCTTTGTGCAGCTACAGCCATTTTCCGCTTTTAAGAAAATCCCACCGACAAAAATCCGACCATTCAAAACTGGTAACACTGAAGGCCATTACCGACGATGTGATTTTTTGCTTTACCAAAAGCCTTATGATATGATTCCTTTAAATGTCAAGGTCCCCTGCATAATCTAATTTACAAGAATTCCACTTACAGGCAGATTCTAGGAACAAGCCAGGGAGGCACATCTAGGCTGGGAAATGGCAAGTGTAACTTTGACATTTGTTCTAACAGCCGACTCATTAGTAAACATGACTCCGGGGGCCCTGTCTACACTTTGCCTCCCGGTGTCCAGACTGGAGTAGGCAGGAGGGCCCTGGGAGTCAGAGAGAACAGCAGGTTGTCAGTCAAACAGCAGGAAGCCCTCCTACACTCTGCCCAGGTCACAGTGAGGAGCTGGGGAAGGGGCCTGGGCACAACCTGGCTTTGTGTGCGCTCTAGACTAGCTGGGTGGGGAAGACAGAAAGCCTGCTCATAGCGAACAGGTAGATTGTGTCTGCACATCATTCGTGGTCATCTGGCCACCTCCTGCTCCCCCTGCACGGTGTTCAGGGCAACACCTGGCTGGCTGCCCCAGCTACCCCTCTTTTCCCGGGATCCATGGAAGAGAATGGTGTTTGAACTGTCACCACAGTGTCTGGCAAAGTCATCCCATCCTCCTCATTTCCAGGCTCTAAGGAAGAGCCTGGAGGCAACCGGAGGCCTGAAGGTGCCTCCTCCTCCTCCTCGCAGCCTGCTGGACGGGGCCTGTTCTCCTTGGATCTGTGTGACTGCAGATGGGCATAGGAAACTGGTAGGGAGGTCTATGAAAAAGAAAGAGGAGGAAGGAGAAAGGAAAACAAACAAACAAACAACAAAAGGGGGGGGGAAACTTTAAAAACAAAGGCTCCGATGAACCAGGTCTGAATCCTGGCGCCGCTTCTCACCGGCTGGGTAAGCTCAGATAAGACACTTAACCTCCTCACTTACGTAAGTTTCTTTACCTATAAAACGGGAGCAGCGATACTGCCTGTGTGGGGAGGCTGTAATGATTACATGTGGATAGAAAAGCATACGGGGATCCACACAGCACCGGGCACACACGACCAGGGATTTCTAATCTCTGTCAAAAGAGATTCCTGTCAATTCCCTCTGCCAGGTGTGAAGATCAAATAAGAAAATGCACTGAAGGGCCCTACACACTGTGGAGTGTTGGACACACCTAAGGGATTATTCCTGTGGCGCTGGGTGGTTCATCCAGCAGCCTCCAACAACTCTGAGTCTGCAGGGGCGGGGCGGGGGCTCGTCCTGTAAGCACAGAAAGACTGCGTTTTGGAGATGCTGCCTTTGGGACTCTGTGGCTTCTGGTCTCCACTAGAGCATTCTACATGTACCTTCAACCCTGCCACAGCCCCCTTTACAGACAGAAAAACCATCCCACTAAAGATGTGCCTTAAAACACACACACACACACACACACACACACACACACCCAACCAGGAACAGAATAAGGAGGGAATCCAGACATCTTAACGGGGACAAGGCTCTACTCCTCCCAGGGGGTCACCCCATCCCAGGGGGCAAGGATTCTGTACATCCAGTTCCAGGCCATCTGCAGGACGGCCCCACCCCCGGGGCAGGGCCTCTGACACCAGCTGTTTCTATCCCTTATTGTACATTGAAACCAGGGTCCTGAGAGATCACACAGCTGATGGGCAGCAAAGCCTGGGCCTTCCCACATGACAGCCTGTCGGCAAACGGCCTGACCTTGGCTCCAAGGGCTCTTGGCAGATTGTTTTGTGAGCGGCACCTGTGTCAGGCTATTAACGGGGGAGGGGGCGAAGATGAAATATGATAGCAACTCCTATGCAACGGGCACTGCCGTGCGCCCGGTCTGCACTGAGCATTTTACTGAATCCTGGCACCCACCCTCCGAGTGGGTGCTCTCCTTATCCCCGTTTCTCACGGGGGAAACTGAGGCTGAAAGCGGGACAGGGACTCGCAGCGGCCCCGGCCTTCCTCCTCTACCCTCCACCCGTGACCCAGGTCCGGTCCACAGACCTTGCCAGAGCGCGCACGTGGGGCCCCCGCAGGCTCGCGCCGGGTCACGTGACGAGCCGGGGACTCAGGGCGGCGAGGCAGTTGGAGGTCGAGGCCTCCCCTCTCCCGGCGGCCGCCGCCCCCTACGCCGCCTCGCTTTACTCACCCCGGGCGGGGCCTCCCAGGACCCGGGAGAAGAGAGCGGGGAAGTGGAAGGGAGGACGGTGGCAGCGACGACCCCACAAGCCCACAACCACCTCCGTCAGACCACTGCCAGACGCTACACCTCGCGGGGCGCGCTGCCTTTGTCCGCTCACGTAACTTCCGGGTGCCCCGAGGGGCGGGGTCACGGCTGGCTCCGCCCTGCGGTTGGCTTGCCCCGCCCCATGGGCTCCTGACCTAGCATGACTTTTCTGTCTCTGGAAGGACGTCCCAGACTTAGAAGAGCCGCATCGCCGACCCTCTCCTGCCTCAGGCACATGCACCAGTTCATTTAGAGGGCTTAAGGCCGGACTTTTAAAAACGCATGTTCTGTGGGTTTTACCTGGGTAAAAAGGAGGGGGAGCCTTAGTCCTCAAATCCAGCAGTTCTCAATCTGTGGGTCCTGACCCCTTTGGGGGTTGAAATACCCTTTCACAGGGGTTGCCTAAGACCATCGGAAAACAAAAAGATATTTACATTACGATTCATAACAGTAGCAAAATTACAGTTATAGAGTAGCAATGAAAGTAATTTTATGGTTGGGGGTCACCACAACATGAGGAACTGTATTAAGGGGTTGCGGCATTAGGAAGGTTGAGGACCGCTGCTCAAATCCCACCCATAACAATAGCATCCTAATATACAGATCCAAAAAGCAAAGAAGAAAAACAGAAATACCCTTGGCAGTGCCAAGGGGTTGCCACCCCAATTAAGCAGAACAAGTCCATGAAGTTTTCATTCCAAAAAGGTTGCCCTCCCCTACGCTCCTCCCATATACAGAAATTCTAGAGCGTCCCTGAAGCAGCCTTGATGGAAATGTGAGTTTGCAGGTAGTAGGTAAACCTTGTGAAGTTCTCCAAGCCTCAGTCTCCTCTTCTGCCAGACAGATGTAATAATTACTCACCTTGCAACGCTCTAAGTGTTAAATTTGTGGGATATTGCATGGCAAGCCTTCAGCCCTGAGCTTGCGGCTGTTATAATGAAAATATTCATCCTAAATTCATTTTTCCTAAACTGACATCCTGGTCTTAGATTGACAGTGCCTTCCTCTGGGCGTTGCACACAGGAGATGCTTAAAGTGTGTTTGCTCTAGTGAAGTGAAAACTATGTGGGGGCTGCTGAAAAGCCCCACCTGAGTGGAGTCCCCTAAATCTGTTTATGTCCATATTAGTTGGCATCCTCTCTAGAGAACTCCAGGTCAGCCTTGGGTCCCTTCGCAAGCTTCATTTTCCATGTCTCTAAGGGAAGGGGATAGATCCTCAGCAATCTCAATTGCGAGGGATGTCTATAATCTTATTTGAGGGCAGCTCTGAGCTTAGCTCTATTAGGGATCCCTAAAAATCTACTCCTACCGTATTTGCCGGCGTATAAGACGATTTTTTGGCCCTGAAAAATATGCCTCCAAGTGGGGGGTCGTCTTATACGCCAGGTACACTTCAGATAGACTGCCCATAGTGCTTGCCCCGTGCCATAGTGGCCTCCCGATGCCCGCCCACTTCATTCCACATACCGTTCAGGCATCAGCAGCGCTGCTGGGTGTATGCTCGGCTGTTATGCGATTTTGCTGTTATGCGATTTTACCACACTCGCAAAATCGCACACAGCCGACCATATAACAAACTCTGTATTTTGAGTGGAAATGTTAGGGGGTCGTCTTATACGCCGAGTCGTCTTATACGCCGGCAAATACGGTACCTTTTTTTCTTGTCAACAGAAGAGGAAGTCCCTTCCCTACACCTTCCATCCTTGGCTGAGGAGTATTTGCAGAAATAGAATACATAGTCTGTGATGCCTCCTCCAGGCAGATGCCTTGTAATTTGAGTTACAATGTCATCTTTTTTATTTTCAAATTGTGAAATTATACCATGCCAGTGAAATTGCTGGGCCAAATGACCCTTGTCTCCCACTCGAATTTCAAAATACAAGCTTCTTCCCTGCCCCTTCCCAAACAAGAGTCACAGATGGGGTACAACAGTCTATTTTACCATGGCACCCTGAGAAAGGAGAAGCTGGTCCAGCATCACACAGCATACACAAGCAGATCAAAGACTCTAAATGATTCTCTTAGATTCCAGGCCCACTGCATTCGTACTGCCCAACCTTCCAGTGGAAGCTCTACTTGCAGAGATGTTAATCCCAATGTGGCTCACCTGGGCCTCCCAGATCTGGAGAGGGTAGCCGAACCCTGGGCCTTGCATCCCTGACTTGGGCCTGGCTGCTCTGGTCAGGAGTTCCACCACCCGCCTTCTTTTTTTTTTTTTTAATTGGGGGATGGGAACAGCGCTGGGGAATTGGGGGAAGGGGAACAGACAAGGTGCTGTCCTTTTGTTGTTCAGTCTAGTTGTGGAGGATGTTGCTTCACTTGCCCAAGTTGGCACCATCATTACGCTCTTCCCGGGTGAGGCAGATCAGTCACCGACTTCTGGACGGCTGCTCGCTGTGGCTGCTGGCTGCTGGCCGCTGACGCTGGCGCTGGCTGCTGGCTATACACGGTAGCCCATGGCAACCACCTGCCGTAGCCAGCGACTCATGGCAGCCTAGCTCCAGGTTGAGCTGTTGTTCAGCATCTTAGCGGTAGAGGGCAGTGTCACTGGCCCTCACATGTGGGATCCGAACTGGGGCCCTCTGGCGTCCCAAGCCAGCTCTTAACCATCGTGCCACTCGGCCGGCCCCACCACCCGCCTTCTAACTGCAGCCTTGGCATCCTGTACAACAGCCCCGCCCCCTGTCCCCAGCCTCAGTGCCCACTGCTCCTCACATGACCTTGGGTGAGTGACAGGTCACAATGATTCTGAAAAGGTCCCCAAGGCAGCAGGGAGGGGCCAGCAGAGGGACCAGGCCAGGAAGATGGGCTCTCCCCAGCACCAGACACCTGCAGGGGGCTCTGAACTCACTGGGACCTTCTCTGGCCCAGGCCTGAAGCCTCAGTAGGGTGAGTGTGTTCCTAGGAGCCAGCTCATAACTGACTGCATCTGGAAGTGGGGTGTGGTGGGGAGGAAGCAGGCTCCGAGACCCCCAGTGTCAGAAGCTGGGGGCAGGTCTGGGGCTCTCTCTTCCAAAGGGGGAGTTTGTTAAAAAGTATGTCTTGGCCCCACCCCAGACCTTCTAAATCAGAATCTGGGACATCTGTATTTTCAACAACCTCCCCACCCAAGGGGCTCGGAGGCCCCAGCACAAGACAGAATCAAGCTGGTTCCAGGTTTCCTAATTCCCAGGGGAGCAAGTGCTAAAATGGTAATAGTCTACCGGACTTGACGCCCCAACGTGCTAAGTGCTCTCTACCGGGTCGGTTTTATTTCACTCTTACAAAGGAGCAGGTCCTCTATTGCCCCCGTTCTACAGACCAGGCCACTGAGAGGAGTTCATCAGTTGGCTTGCCTCAGGTTACAAGGCTACTAAATAGTGGAGCTGAGACTAAATCCTAAGCAATAATTTAGAAACCATCATAATAATAGCAGCTAGTGTTTGCTGACCACATATGACGTGCCTGACACTATTCTAAGCCATTTACGTGTGTGCTCACTCATTTGAACGTCACAGCAACTCAAAAACGTGGGTACTCTTACCCTCACCATTTTCCAAGTGAGGAAACAAGAGGCTTGGCGAACTCCAGCCTGAAGCCACTCAGTGCCTGGCGAGCCAGTGATGTTACCCCCAAACCAAGCTAGCCCGCTCTGGGCGCTATGGCCTGGGGTCTGGCCTATGCTCTCCTCTCCACTTCACATGCCCCCCCCCCCCGCCCCCAGTGGCGTGAGAATGCCCGGAGCTGAGCGCAGAGCCAGACATGCGGCGGGTCACGCCACCCCCCCGCGCCCAGCAGGTGGAGCCCAAGGGGTTCCCCAGCAAGGGCGATAGCGGGGTGACAGGCCCACTTCTGCCCAGGCTACCTCCGCGCGAGCTCGGACCAGCCCCTGGCGCGAAAAGATGGGGGGACTCAAGGGCCTCCGGGGGTGGTGCCGAGTGGTGGCAGGCCTCCAGCGGCGAGTCGTCGTCCGCAGAGGCTGGGACGGGCGTCTGGAGCTCCCTGCAGCGCCTGCCCACCCTGCGCATCGTGCAGCAGCGGGCGGCGCCTAACAGGACAGGGCAAAGGTCGCTGCTGCCGCCGCCCCTGATCCTGGACGGCATGCCCTGGACACGGGCATCCCTGCGCCCCGGGTCCGGAGAGTGTGAGGACTCCTGGAGGGGCTCGGCCAGGGAGGCCCAGGACTCCTTGGGTGCCCACCTAGGAGAGTTCCTCCCTAGCAGGTTCCAGAAGTTCCTGTACCAGCTGGGGGCCGAGTGTGTTCAGCAGCCGCCGCCACAGAGTGAGGCCCTGCTCAGATCCCCAGGGGGCAGGGCAAGGACGGGGCTGAGTCATGGGGGGCAGAGGAGGAGGTCCCACCACCTTGCACAGAATGATACTGTCAGTTGAGTACCTGGCAGAGTCCTGGCAACCACCCTTTGAGGGCAGGTTTACCATTGCCTCTGTTGTAAGGATGAGGAAACTGAGGCCCAAGGTCATATAACTAGGAAGATCTTAGTAAGAACTGTCCCCAAGCAAAGGCTCATAACTATTTCCACCTCCTCCTGGCTCCCTGCATCCTCTCAGAATCGCAGTATCAAGGGGTGTGTCAGAGCACTGCCAGCATCCTCAGTGTCCCAACTGCTCCTTCCTCCCAGACCTGCGGTAAGTGTCAGTGACCTGCTGGGGGGGACAGGGTTGTCACTGACACCCTGAAAGTGGAGGACTCTGCCAGATGTGGCCTCTTTGTCTTCAAGGAGCCAGACGTCGTACTTCCAGAATAGTCTTAAGGAGCGTTTGCTCCATCAGATACCTACCCTGGGGCCGCTGAGGAGCGATCACACACCATCGACCACGATCAAAAAGGCCAACAAGTGAGTTATGGGAAGATGACTGTAGGGGAGGGGGGGGAAAGAGCATTTCTTTCCTTCCTTTCTTTCCTCTCTCTTCCACCCATGAATTTACCTAAGTATTCACCTATTCATCCACTTATTCATTCATAATCTATCCATGAATCTGCCCACACAACAACTCACTCATCATTGCATAGACCTATCCAGGAATCGGGTTCTCCCAACCCATTCAAGGATCACCCACCAACATCTATGAATCCATGCACCCACTCATCGGGTCGTCTAGCTACACATTCATAATTCACCTTTGAATCCATTCATATATTCATTCTCCCATTCACCCGTCCATCCTCGCAGACATCCTACCTGTGATCCAGGTCTTCGACAACATATTCAGGAACCTCTCCATCCATCCGTCCATTCATCCCGTCAGTCATCCATCCGTTCACAAGTTCCCACAATTCTATCCATCCATCCATGAATCCGATTTGTAGATCAATCATTTACAAATCCTTCTGTCCACTTATAAATCCAGGCTACTATTCATCTCTAATCTAGTCATGAAGCTATCTACAAGTCCACATACCCATCTACATAATTATTCATTCATCCCCCCGTACGTCTACCCATCCTCCTAAGGTCCAGTCCTTCTACTCAGGCCTTTTCATTAATCCACCCACCAGTCTTCAGTTCTTTTACCCATTCCACCATTCATGCCGCCATGTCTTCCTCTAACATTTATTAGGTTTTACTATATGTCAAATATTGGGGAAAATAAAAACAAGGGGTGGAGGTAGGAGAGGAGCCTGGGCATTAGTGCCTACCTGGGCCTTGATACCATAACTCTAACGGAGGAGGGAAAGAATGCAGAAAAAAGTCCTCCAGCTTCAACAGGCTTCAACAGGGGTGAAGGGTGAAGAGCACTGCCCACGAGTTGGAAGACCAGGGAGAGTGAATACACAATATACGTGCCATTCCTTCTCATCCTGGACCCATGACAGACAGTACTAATTGATCACAGAACTTTCCCCCACTGAGCCTCAGAACCCTTCCTGACACAGTGCTCTGGGCAGACACCACTAGTGGATCAGAGTAGGTGCCAGAAATGAAACACATTTGCCAATCCAGGAACTTTAAATCAGTCAGGCTAAAAAAAAGACACCACCTCTCATAAGACATAATAAATACAAGTATGGAACTCATGGTCTCAAATGTGAGCGACCTCAGGGATAGAAACATTCCCAGTGTTCCATATTCAAGAGCTAATACTGGAGCACCTTCCAGTGTGTGAGATTCCCTGGTTGGCCCAGGGGGAAGAGGGGTGCGGGGGGACTCCAGGGTGCATTAGAACAGGCTCCAGCAGCCTTTGAGAGGAGAAGCTGAGATTTCAGACCTGTGGGCAGAGCTGGGGTGTGCCTTGGCCTGGCCCTGAGGCCAGCACCAGGTGGCCGTTGGTATGCCAACCTCTGTTGGATAAGTAGGTCCGATGCCTGTAGCCGGGCACAGTCTTGGACACTTAGTGGGCTGATGAAAAGCATCCTTTCTGGGCCCACACAGACATGAAGATGTGGTCAGATAAATGGGTGCAGATATAGCAATATGTATATACTTCAGGTCGAACATGGCATTTCTGAATAACGGAGCCATGGATGGATGAGGCATGGCCTCCTGTAGCCTTGCCCTTGACACTGAAATTAATAACAATAAATGTAACAATAACAGATACATACCCTTTATTGAGCATAGGCCCTGGACCAGATGCCTCACATAAGCTGTTTGATGCTCCCCAAACTCTCAATAAGGATGCTATTGTCATGCCTATAATATAGAATACATAATTTAAAGGGGAAAAGTGTGAAATGGAGACTTGAGGGCAGTCTGTTCAAGATTAGCTGCTGGAAAGGGGCAGAATGGAGACTGACAATTATAATAAAAACAGTACCCAGTTAGAGGTGTTTACCCCTGGCCCTGCAGATCCTCAGCAGGACACTTTGCAACCGTTTTATCTCCTCACAGCTCTGTATGGTGGCATGACGATAATCCCCATTTGACAGACAAATAAACTGAAACTCAAAAGAGTTAGGCTTGGAACCCAGGACTGCCTGACTCCTGAGTTCATATCCTTATTCTCTCTGCTGAAGCACCTAGTATATAAGAGTGCCGGCTCTGGAACCAGGATTCAACTGTTGGCTTCACCCCTTACCGGCTGTGTGACCTTGGGCAAGTTGTAAAACATCTCTGTGCCTCAATTTCCTCATCTGTAGAATGGGGACTTGGTGGGATGCTGCATGCTATGCTTGGTCCATTGCCTGGCAGGCAGGAAATACTAAGAAGAGGCCAGCTGCTGTGACTGTCAGGGTCACACAGTGAACCCCAGCCTGGTGGATGTGTGTTGTCCGGGTGGAGTAGGGTCCTGGCCCCAGCCCTCCCATGTCCCTCTCGCCTCTCTCAGCAGGGCCCACGGTATACAGGCCCCCAAGCTCAAGGCCGTGCTCACCCACAGCTCCTCTGGGGAAGACTCACGGCATTGCAGGCGGTATTGCCCATTCCGAGTGCGTTTCGCTGATGAGACCCTACGGGATATAGCGCTCCGCTACTGGGAGCGCAGCTGTGCACGTAAGCAGGCAGGATGGGGAGCCCTGGGACTCCAGAAAGTTCCAGCCTGGATCTGGGAGGGTAGAGGCTGTGGCCCTGGGTCCTGGGAGTAAGGGGCCAGCCTGCAAAGGCCAAGAGGCCACTGACCCTGCAGAGGAGGTTCCCAAACTGACCTCTCCAAAGGATGTCAGGGTGACCTTCAAGGACCAAGTAGAAGGTGCGAGGTCCAGGAGAAGTGTCCCAAAGCAGGTGACACCAGGGGGCAGCCACAGTGTTGGCCCAGGAAACAGTGGCTGCCCGGGTCTGGCCACCACTGAAGGACTTCTTGCTGCCAAGGGTTCCCATATGCCACACCTGCCTACCTTGTAACTGGCACCCACAGCCTCCTGAACCCATGTCTGCCCCCCACACATGGGCTTCAGGGGCTGGAGAAGCTGAGAAGGCACCAGAAGCATCTTCTTCCCATATCCATAGAGGCAGACCTGGATGAGGAAGTGCCCGGTAAAGTCCAAAAGATTAAACCTCCTCTCTCCTGGGGAAGGTTGGCATCACCTGGTCTTCAAAGAAGCTAGGAACCAACAGGGCTGGATTCCCCAGCAGAAGTTTGCTCTCAGCTCTTTGGGGATGGATGTGATAGTATCTGTCAGTTTGGGCAGTTTCTAGTTTTTCTGGTGTCAAGAGGCAGGCGGGAAGATCACATGTCCTTGCTCCAGTATAACCTTTCTCCATCGGCCCAGCCTCCTCTCAGGATCCAGCAGCCCCCGTAGCCTCCAACAGTTAGCAGCCTGCATCTATTTTTCGAGCACCTACAGTTTCAGTTTCAGGAACCAGTTGCCCCAAAGCCTAGCTATGGGTAAAGCCCTAAAAATACAGAGCTTTCATGGATTCAAGGAGGGACCCTAGTCAGCTCCCAAAGAATCACAGGAAGTTGACAGAAGCTGTGATTTTGCCCAACTTCTGGTTGTCTGATGGGGAAGTGAAGGCCCTGAGAGCAGGTGACCCAGCAGACAGGAAGAGAAGCCACTCTGGGAATCCAAGGAAACGGCAGTTGGCTGGCATGGGGAAGCTTTCTGGCCAGCCGCTGGCTGTGGGAGCTGTGGTTGCACCCCAGGGTGCCTGACTGGGGCTCCATGGGTGCTTCCAAGCCCTTTCCATCCCCTGGGTCCCTGACCAGCCAGAAGGGCAGCTGTTGGACAGGAAAGACTCCCAGCCCTCAGAACCACCCTCCATCCCCGTAGGAGTCTCAGCGTCCTCTCTTGGACTTCCTGGTGGCGTGACTGGCCTTCTCACTGAGGAAAAAGGGGTCCATTTGGGGCTGGAGCAGGAGTGGGTATGGAGGGACACAGATCGGGTCATAAAGGCAGAAACAGTCACAAAAGATAGTTTTAAGATCCAAGCCTTCTCTGGAGGCAGCCAGAAGGCACTGCTGGGGAGCCTTGGGTTTCCATGGAGACGCTCTGCCCGCCTTGCCTGTGGGGGTGGGAGGGGAGCATGTGTGCCCCCTCCTGGGTAGAGCTCTCACCATGCCTTTTCTCTTCCAGTCCAGCAGGGCAGCGAGAACGGGCCAGCCACCCAGTCGGCAGCATCGGAGCGTGTGTTTGACAGTGTCGGGCAATGGCTGGAGAGTTTGCCCAAAACCCCGTACCCCAGGGCCGAGGAGGAGGCCGTGGCCAGCTCCTTGTTCAGCTGGGACTGCCTGGGCCTGTGAGGCTCCTGGAAGGGACTGGGATTCACACACACTGCCAGGGCTCCCCCCTGCTCACCCCGTAGACCTCCCCATCCAGCAGTGGGCAGGCTGAAGGTCTGGGCCCTCGAGGGCTCTGCCAGCCATGGGTGGACCTGGGCCTTGGGGTCCATGCAGCTCATGGTCTCCTGTCCCCCTCAGGCCCACCCCAGCGTTGCAGGGCCACCTCCCTGAGGACACCTTCATGAACACCAGCCTGCCCTTCATCCCCAGTGCCACCCCCCCAAGGCAGCAGACTGACCTCAAAACCTTCCTGGGCACCCACAGCACCTTGGAGCAGGTGTACAAACCACCCTGCTCCTGCAACCAGAAACTGGTGAGTCCTGGCTGGCAGCCAGCAGCCACCTGGAGGGGTGGCCCGGGCACCGGGTAAAGCCTCCCTACATGCTAGGCTAAGGGGTGGACTCCCGAGTTGGGCAGCCTGGTTCAGATCCCAGCTCCATACTTGCAGACTCTTTGCATTTCACTTTCCTTATCTGTAAAATGGGGTTGACAGCAGTGTCTGCCCCCTTGCACTGCAGCATAGAATCCCCCTGGGCCCTGGGCCCTGGGCCCATCTCCTGCCTGGAGGCCCCTGCAGCACCCACTTGGTCCTCGTCTTCCCTCTAGGAGTCCTTCCTGCCCCACTTGTTGCTGCATAAGGTCCTGAAGCGTGGCCGCCCTAAGGGATACCAGCCCCTCCTGCCTTCTGTAACGCGGCATCAGGCTCAGCCATGAATGGCCGCTGGAGCCTAAGCCCAGGTGTGGACAGGGGCCGGGGCGAGGAGAGGCCTTCCTTGCCCCACAAATAAATGCACATCCCAGGTGGCTGGGACCTGCTGCCAAGTCTCACCCTACAAGCCTCTCCAGGTGCCTGATTGCTGGTCTCCAGGGTTCCTGGGCCAGGGGAACGAAGGGGGTGGAATCGCAGCTTGGATGAGGCTGGCGAGTGGGGACAAGGCTTCCAGAGGGGTCAGGGCTTGTTCCGAGTTGAACCCCTTTTCTGGAAGATGGGAGACACTGCCACACACCTCAAACCTGGGACCAAGCCTCTGTCCATCTGGACCCACCCACACATGAAACAGGCACCCGCCCTGACCTCTGCCCGCATCCTCCATCTTTGGAACCAAAGGCTGCTTGCCAACCTCCCACAATGGGGTAAGAGCATCGTGGTTCAAGCCGGGGGAAAAGAGCCCTGTGTGTGCATAAACGTGTGTCTTCTGCGTCCCCCAGGCCGGGCTCACACCATCTGGTCCCTGGAGGGCAAGTATCCGGTGTGTGGGGTCAGGTGTTTCTCTCCAAGTCGTTGGGGGGAGGGCCGTGTTCAAAGCCTCCTGAGGAGGTGGTGGAAGACTAGACGGCTTGCACTGCTTCGAGTTCATTTGACCACTGCACTGACCCAGCAGTGCCACCCCACGCACCAGTCTGCCAGGCGCGGCCTTGCCACAGCTGTGTTCCAACCTCCTGGGCAAAGTTGAAGCCCCCTGCCCTCCTTGAAGTTGGGGTTTGGCCTCAACCCCTCTCCAGGCCCACGACCCAGGTCTTTATCGCCACCTCCTGGCCAGTGAGGAAACTGCCGGGGATACACGGCCAGGCACCCCTGAAGAACAGGAAAAGGGTGGGGTTTGGGCTGGGCAGGCGGTGGGGGGGTCTTAGGGCCAGGGTGACTTGTGGTTAGGGGAGACCTGTTTTGAAAGGGTGCCCTGGCTCCAGAAGAAAGGCGACAGCTCTAGGCCCAAGTTGGACAAACCCTGTGAGGGCTGGGCTGGGCGTAGTGCTACCACCTCCTTCACAGGGGCTGGGGTAGGATTTCAATCCTTGGGATGACCGCTCCCCTCCATCCCCTTTTCTGGACTTCCACGCCCATCCCCCCAGTATTGCTATTTCTTGGAGAGCCTGTGGGTCTCAGAGGAGGCCTGATTCTACTGCATCTCCTCCCCGTGACCTTGCGCATCCCACCTCGCGCTCTCCGAGCCTCAGTTTCCCCGGCCCGGCCGCCGGCTGCAGCGCCGCAGTATGCCCACGCGGGGGCAGTGTTGGCCTGGCTTTGGCGCTGCCCGGCGCGGCTGAAACTTCTTTGCTCGTCGGTGAAGGGGTCGGAAACTTTTCCCCTCGCGCGGTTTTAGTGTCGCTCGCCTCTGCGCCTCCCGCCCGGCGCGAAGCTGCGGGCCCGCGCTGCCTCCTGCCATCTGCACGAGTCCGCGGCCGGACCGTGGGGCGACGGGGTGCCCCCAACCCCCCAACTTCTCTTTCTCGTCTTTTGTTGCTAAGTCACAACTGCTGATTTTGCGAAGGCGCTGTCAACAGCGAGCACTGGAAATCGAGTCCCGAGTGCAGCGCACAGAGGCGAGGAGGCGGCTGGAAAATCCTTGCCTCCGTCTGCCCCTCCACCCCCCCACCCCCTCC